ATTAAAGATAGATAGATAGATAGATAGATAGATAGATAGATAGATAGATAGATAGGTGTTTTTATGAATGGTGGAGGCAGGCTGAAGCAGGGGAGGTGCTTGTAGGGTGATAGAGGGCTGTGAAGATGCGCTCCTCTTACTGCCTCCGTCGGTCTCTACAGACAAACACATACCGGTGCTGTTCATCATGAATGCTGTTCATAATCGATAATAATTAATCGTGCACGGCTCGTTTATTTCGTGCATTTTCTTATTTTTACATTTTATGATGCTTCAGGGCGTGCATTTGAATCGCTGCATGGTCGCGGGCGCAGTGCAGTTCCGATTGTTTTTATTGTTATGTTCTTTACATCTTTCTTTAAGATGCACTGCACATGGCGAGGACATTCATACTGGTGAGTGATATTGTATTACAGTCATTGTAAAATAATACCGGATGCTAGCTGTTGTGTATCGTGGAAGTCTACGTGGAATAGAAGATGCTGAGCAGTGGAGCTCGTTGGCTGGAAATTGTGTGAGATTGATTATCTGTTGGTCTCGTGATTGATTTATTGCACTATTAGATGAACGCTGGCATGGAGACTCATCTCGTATCCATGACAACACGGAGCACTTTATCACTTATCCACAGTGGATCAGCCCTGCCAGACATAAAAGATCTCATGAGGGCACTAAGGTAATGCTGACTGCAAGTAGTGTTGTTTTGAGAATGAATCTTTGTAGTAGTAGTGCATCAGAGGTTCAACGTGCTATATTTTGTCAAACTCCACATGTGTGGTATTTTGTCGTAAGATGGCTTGTGAATCAAACGTCTTAAGACCATTTTAATTTTAAAATTCAATAGCCTACATTATATTTCAGCATAATTATATTTATTATACATTCAGTGAAATGTTGAACTAAAAATGTTTTGAAACGTCTTAGTATTTGGTATATTGCCATGAACTCCACAGGTTTGTGTATGTTATCCAGAATGATTTAAAAATAATCGAAAAATCATCTTGTTTATATAGAAGTAAAAACATTTGACCTTTAGTACAAAGTTGCTTTTGTGATAAGTGACTTATAGTTATAAATATTAGAATATTCTTAAGAACCTTAGGGTATTTCATCTTCGTTTTTTTGGCATATTTTTAGTTGAAATTTGCTGTAAATTTGTCAAATTCCTAAAACTTCCAGTGTATTTTTGTTGAAATATTGAAAAAGAACTATATGTAATAAACCACTTGCCTCATTCTTTATATTTTTAACACTATCATGTACAGTATATACCACCATTTTTGCATAATGGAATTTATATTAAGTAATTCTATTCTAACCTGACTGATTTGCCTTCCCAGCATCCATCTGAGGCAGAGGTCAAACTTACTGTGGGAGATGAAGATCTGATTCTACAACTCCGGAGAAATGAGTGAGTTTGTGCTCATGATCATATAAGCATCTCCATTCACTGTCCAGCAATACTCCACTGTAGCCACATTTCACTTACCAACTGGAGGTGTCGTGATATATTTACAATGAAATGCGTTGTGCCAAAAATACACATCTATGTGGTTTCCCTTTTCATTTTGGCACAAGCAGATGTGCATGTGTTGATGGAAAGCGTTTGCACCGCACGAGCATTAAACCATATGGGAGTGACATTTGATACGCCTGCTCCAGGACACCGGAAGCTGAGCGCGTCACATGATTTAGTATCTCCCCCAGGAGTGCATTGCCATTAGGGAGTAAGTTAATTAGTGAACATGATAACAGGTTGATAACAGAATACATCAGGTCGATTATTTCTGAGGTGTATCATTGGCAATAAAAGGCTAGTGACAGGACTTCAAAAGACCTCTTGTTTTGCAAAGATTGGGTTGGATGCCACAGGAAAGCCAGGCTACAACCAGCACAATCCTCTGCACCAGCTGTGCCAAGTTTTGATACAAAGGGGCACTAATTTACAACTTATGATATTTTTGCATTGCACCATTAAACTTAAGTTGAATCTTAACTCCTTGACAGGATTTCTGTGGGCCTTAAAAAGTCTTAAGTCAGAGCAGAAAGTCTTAAATTCACAAAGTTAAATCAAGATACACTGCACTGGAAAACAAGACAGAAAAGGCCCTTTCACACCGGACGCGGCAAGCGGTGGAATCGCCGCGCGGCTGCCGCTTTCTCTTGTAGTGGAAGCGTTTTGTGCAGTTGACCCCTTATTCACCCCTTATTTACACTGCACACGTCTGCGGCGCGTTACGGCTCCGACGCGGCTACCGGAACTGATCGCGGTCATTCTAGTCAATGCTTGTGTTTACACCAGACGCGCCGCGGCACGTTTCCCTGTGAATTCTTAAGAACAAATTATGAAACTGAATAAAGTACAGAGTTAGTTACAAACTAGTTAGTATTTACCAAGCCTGTAGTGTGAACTTTATGCTCCATTTAAGTAAGAACTTGTAAACGGCCTCGTTTACAAGCAGAGGAATGCACACACATGCGTTGTGGTACTCTTGTGAATGGCGGCGGAGACTGACCTGGAAGAGAAGAAATCGTTGAATAAAGTCATATTTTTTGTGTCTTTGTGCACAAAAAGTATTTTTGTAGCTTCATAACATTACGGTTGAACCACTGATGTCACATGGACTATTTAAACGATGTCCTTACTAACTTTCTGTGCCATAAAACGTTTCAGTTGCATTGCTGTCTATGCAGGGTCAGAAAGCTTGTGTTAAACACAGACCTTATTTCAGACATTTAACCAAAAACCCATTCAAAAAACCCATTGACATCAGGACCATGGAACCGGAAGTGCGAAAATGCTAACTAATTTATGGTTTATATGTCATCCTTGCAGCACTCTATTTGAGTAGCACTGATATGACATATTTCAAAAACCGAAAGCTAACAATAAATAAAATTTTCTACCTATTAGATTGTGTTTTATTAACGTCTACACCTACCCCAACCCTAAACCTACCCCTTAAAATAATGCAAAAATAGTAATTATTGTTGTACAGTGTGAGAAATGTTACGCTATATTGATGTGCGCATGCCCAGCAGTTTTTGCTGTATGCCATCTAGCCCAGAGATTCGGTGCATTCGAAACGGGATATATCGCCCTCCGAAGGGCACTTCGGAGTGAAAACAATCATGGCCGCCATATTGTGTCGTTTACGGATACCATAGGAATGAATGAGAAGTGCAGTAAACTGAATCCCACCTGTCGCAAAAAGTCAGTGACTTCTCTTATAAAACGGCATTTTTTTCGTGGTAAACTCTAAAAATAGTTCAATCAAAAAGTATTGTTTAGTGTAAAACATGTTGAAGATTAGCAGATAGGCTGTCGATTCATTAAATGATAAGCC